ACCCCCACCCGTCTCCCATCAACACACACACACAAACACACCTTATTTGTCTGTTTTTGCAAATAGGCCTAGATTGCAAAGCTAAAATAAAACATCTTTTGTAAATGATAATTTTCAATTTGTTCTTGCACTATACACTATCTGAACACCTGCATCACATTTGGCCTGCGTCACGTACCCAACTTAAGTACTAGTTTTACCATTGGCATTATCATTTTAGATTTCACTGCACGTGCAGTAGGATACTAGTGTGCATATTTGCATATATGTCGGTAGGAATTATTTCATTTTGTGTTTTCACTGGATTATATTTCATGAAGATGTCAGGGCCTAAATAATAACAATCGGTAAGTACAAGTTTTGGTATAGATTTGGGTAAAATAGTCTGAAATGCAAACGGTTAGGTTAAAGTTTAAAGGATCAAAGGTCATCCGATGCTACAATAGACGGATTTCACATTCTGAAGAGTTATCCCCCGTTATCAACGTTACATTCAGTTACAAGATCCAGAATTTTTTTTTCTTGGAGGGACGGGGGGGGGGGGTAGGGGGGGTTCCAGACCAGAATTTCCTGTGAAGCAAGAAAAAAAAAAGAAGCTATGGTTTGGTCTGTTTTCTAGGGTGGAGGGACACTTAGGGCATCCAAAGTCATTTTTTATTTCCTCCAGTACATATTATAGTCCTGCAAATTCCGGGGGAAAGGGGGGGGGGTGTTGAGGGGGCGATCTTCCAATCCATTTCCCTGTCCCTGTAATGACAAATGATCTTGTGACTCCTAAATAGTAGGAAACTTTTTCCATTTGACTATACATAATATTGTGTTATTATGTTATGTAAATTTAATGGTATAAAGGTTATGAACCCCTAGAGGTCATCCCCACTCTCCTAATGAGCTGGAAATGTTCACAATATGACTGCAGTAAATTAAATAAAAGTGCATCAATGATAAGATTACTTGACATTTTATTCATGAATTTGTGTCAACATATCTTCCTAGAATTAGGAATGAGAATCATTCAGAGATGGACCACATTAAACTATTTGTATAAACATTTTTTTTTTTTGCATACATGAACAAACAGGGGTCTGGGAAGAGGTGAGGGGAAGGATCGAGTTAATATTTCTTTACGTCTTAATGGTTGAAAACTCCTAAAATGAATGTTGACCTCAAATCTAACTTGTCCTCATTATTTTTCAAATGGTGGTGTCTCCATATGAGTGAAAAATTCCTGAGAGGGATGTTTAACAACAAACAAAATGACATAAGAACACAATATTAATTTGCGTTAAGAAATATGCAGGGGATTTTTTCCATCATAAATCTTCTTCTCAAGAACAGCAAGGGCATATTCTTGTCCCCCATATTGGGGAAAGGGAGGGGACACTAAATCTCATTTGTCTGTCAGTCTGTCCATCTTATTGACAGCTAGTATGTGCATCTGTCACAATAAATTTAACCTTGGTCATAACTTTTGAATGATAAGAGATAGTGCTTTCATATTTCACATGCACATTACCACAAAACTTTCTAAATATACTAAGATTTTTTAACCCAAGTGAGACCTTGACCTTAAAGTTTTAACTACTTTCCAAAAAATAACATTTTAAATTGATCATTTTGAAAGAGAAAAGAAAGGGCATTCAAATTATACATGTTTATTACATGTGAATAGACTTTTCTAAATATATCATGACTTTTGACTCTGTGACCTTGACCTAGAAGTTTAACCTACTTTTCAAAAATATTTTATTGTATATATAACTTTTGATTCAAAAGAGATAGGACTTTCATATTTGACATGTACATTACCTGCAACAAAATGTTTCAGAGCATGCTATGATTTTTCCCCTTTGACCCAATTTTCAAAAATTGATATATGATAGGGGTGCATATTTGACACACAATCTGCCATAAATTATGGTATCTCATTCACTAAAACACAGAAAGCAGAGGACCACAATTCTTTGAATTTGCTTGTATAATCTTGATAGATGGAAACATGCTCATATAATGTAGATTCAAGTTTTTTATGCCACACCATGATTAGGAATACATGTATAGTTTTTGTCATGTCCGTTGTCCACCCTTCCATCTGTCTTTCCATCGGGCTCAAAGAAACTTTCTAGATATTTTTATCAAAGTTCATATGTTGATGCATACTGATGTAAATATCCAGCTGCAGCAATATTTTTTGACTTTGACTTTTCCTTTGACCTTCACATAACTTTTCTTTAAATTAGTGTTTAGCTTTATTTTAAAGAAACCATTCAAGTTGTGTAATGAAACTTCACATGATGATACATACTGATGTAAGCTTTACGATGCTTCACTCTTTTTTACCTTGACCTTTCCTGTGACCTTGACCTCACTTTTCTAAAATTAATGTCTAGACCAGTTTTGAATAAACAATTCAAGATATATTTATCAAACGTCATATGCTGATACATACTGCTAAGAGCTATTAATACGTCAACATATTTTGACCTTGAATTTTCCTTTGACCTTTACCTCACTTTTTAAAATATCATTTTTCGACACCATTACTCCCCCCGGGGCAAAATCAACATTCCAAAACCTTACTGTACATCTACAGGACACCACCAACCATCTCCCAAAAGATGATTAGGCTACTTTGTAAAATGTAAGAGAAGTTCAGGGAAGACAGGGCTTTTTGCATAAAAAACGTCATTTTTCGACCCCCATTTGACCCCCCGGGGCAAAATCAAAATTCTGAAACCTTACTGCACATCTACATGACACCACCAACCATCTCCCAAAAGATGATTAGCCTACTGTGTAAAATGTAAGAGGAGTTCAGTGAAGACGGGGCTTTTTGCATAAAAAACGTCATTTTTCGACCCCCATTTGACCCCCCGGGGCAAAATCAAAATTCCGAAACCTTACTGCACATCTACAGGACACCACCAACCATCTCCCAAAAGATGATTAGGCTACTGTGTAAAATGTAAGAGGAGTTCAGGGAAGACAGGGCTTTTTGCATAAAAAACATCATTTTTCGACCCCCATTTAACTCCCCGGGGCAAAATCAACATTCCGAAACCTTACTGCACATCTACATGACACCACCAACCATCTCCCAAAAGATGATTAGGCTTCTGTGTAAAATGTAAGAGGAGTTCAGGGAAGACGGGGCTTTTTGCATAAAAAATGTCATTTTTCGACCCCCATTTGACCCCCCGGGGCAAAATCAAAATTCCGAAACCTTACTGCACATCTACAGGACACCACCAACCATCTCCCAAAAAATGATTAGGCTACTGTGTAAAATGTAAGAGGAGTTCAGGGAAGACGGGGCTTTTTGCATAAAAAACGTCATTTTTCGACCCCCATTTGACCCTCCGGGACAAAATCAAAATACCGAAACCTTACTGCACATCTACATGACACCACCAACCATCTCCCAAAAGATGATTAGGCTACTTTGTAAATACTAGAAGGAGTTCAGGGAAGACGGGGCTTTTTGCATAAAAAACGTCATTTTTCGACCCCCATTTGACCCCCCGGGGCAAAATCAACATTCCGAAACCTTACTGCACATCTACATGACACCACCAACCATCTCCCAAAAGATGATTAGGCTACTGTGTAAAATGTAAGAGGAGTTCAGGGAAGACGGGGCTTTTTGCATAAAAAACGTCATTTTTCGACCCCCATTTGACCCCCCGGGGCAGAATCAAAATTCCGAAACCTTACTGCACATCTACATGACACCGACAACCATCTCCCAAAAGATGATTAGGCTACTGTGTAAAATGTAAGAGGAGTTCAAGGAAGAAAAGTGTGACAGACGGACGGACGGACGGACGGACATGAGTAACAACAATATACCCGAACTTTCTATAGAAAGTGCGGGTATAAATATAATAAATTTTAAAAACAGGTCACACAAATTTCATTTTCTAATTACTTTATCAATAGAATAACTAATTGGTTTGCGGCCGATTTTTGACGCTTGCGTCAATATATGTTTCTTGTCGCAATTTGGTCTACATGCGTTATACGTTAGATGGTAGTGTCTCTGTGTGCGGAGATGCAGAGGACTATGGGTAGTATGAATAGTTACTGTATTTTTTTTCTTTTCAAAATGAATAAAGATTTATAAACTCTAATGAATAAGAAATAAAATCAAAAGCGACACAATTTATACTGTACGATGGGTGATCAAAAAGCGAACTATCTCTATATCTACAAAACCACAACTCAGATTAGAATAACATTTGGTTCACACATAGCCATAAGCAATTTCTATAAATAGCATATGCTTTTGCTCCTTGTTTGCGACTTCACAATATGAAAATGACGTCACTATGAAGATCACTTGTGACAAAAAAAAAAGCTCCTATCGGTCGTACTCGTTCAACGAACGACTGTAAAATTTATTTTATATCTTTGAAAGTCTTTTGCATTAGCGTGTAATAATTTGTACACAGTAAATTTAGACAAAAGACTTCCTAGACATCCAATCAATTATTGGATTAATCGTCTTAGTTAAAGAAGGGAGATGGTTAATAATGATTACTGTTCTGTTGCCCAGTGAAAGCAAGTTTGAAAAAAAATGGGTTTTCATTTAAGTAATTTGTTATAAAAAAAAACCCAAAAAAAACAAACTTTCAATTAACACTTTGAAAAATAGTTGAATATCTTAACAATAATTTAATTATTAAATACCTAAGATATCGTTTACTTTTATGTATTGGGACTGATGGTCGCCATGCTCATTTTGGGAAAGGATATTCTTATCCTCCCATTCTGTTGTCGAGATTTCACCATTTCTGACAAAAAAAACTGTTCTTGTTATAAAGATTAACTTGCATGGAAAGAAATATAAAACTCAGAAAAATATTTTTCTGTGTATTTTCTTGATACAAACTTTCAAATGAAGAAGCATGGAAGGTTAAAGATGTGAATGCATTATCAATATGATGTGTTTGATTATATGTTTATACCCCAGCAACGGGGTTATTGTAACATAATCGTCTGAATGAGGGAGGGTGAGTCCAGTGTGAGGGTGTGTTTGAAGGTTACTGTGTTTGCAGGTCACATAAAGAAACTTAAATGAAATTATATTGATACAGATTATAAAGTCCAATTTTCTCCATCTTTATTCAAATCTAGACAATGAGAATACAACAAGAGTAAAATTCAAAAAATACCATTCTTTCATATAATCATACAATAGTTATGTACATTGTCATGAATTTCATGCTTGAAAAAATACACCCTTATTTAAAGCCTCGAAGGTTGAAAGGAGTATTCTATCAACAGGGAATACTACAAAAAATGGAACATGATCGTGTATAATTTAATATTATGTGCATAAATAGTTCTATACAAACTGTCAGTGACTTCTTAAAATAAACAAATAGTTTTACAAAGTTTTATTTAATTTTCTAAATGTTAAAAAATGCTAAGTTGGAAAAAGTTGGAAGATGTGGATGATCCAAATATTAAGGTTGTGGCTATGAGGATATTTTATCATTCTGCAAGTTTTGAAAATAAACTATTGAAGACTCGATTTCATAAAATTGTATTTAATTCTTGCTGTTAATCATTACGGTGCGATTCCCCTTCCCCCATATCAGAATGTAGTGTTTTTTTTATTTGCTGGTGATTAATTAGACATATTCATGCTTAAGATTTGGACAGCGGGAAATTAAAAGAAACACATGCGTGGTGACAATTGATAATCATGGGAAAACTTTATAAATTACAATACGAGATGCATGATCAATATTCATAGAGCCAAGGCGCATTTTCCTGAACGTAACAAGATCTCCAACTTTTAAGTAAAGGACTAGAGAGGTTGAAGCTGAACTCCAGGTCCCCAATTTAGTCTCAATCCAAACAAATGTCATTGCTTTTTCATTTTTGTAAAACTGAATGCCGTTTCTCAACGAAGAAGTCAATAAATTGATACTTAGGTAATAATACCCTTCTTCTTTGCAGGCAAAATAACCTGAGGAGTTAAGAGTTGTTGTCGGACTGGTGCAGGTTACGTACGTTTCCGAGGCCAACTTCAATTTGCAGGAAAAGCCCATATCAACATCGAACAAAGGTCTTAGTAAATAGACAGCAAAGTTGGAAAAATTATTTAAGGTTCCATCGTGAGCGATATCTAGTGTTATTTTATCTCCGATATTGAGATTGAGTATTTCAGCCGTTGAACTGGAACTGTAGGCATTCTTCTGAGAGTGCCACGCATGCAAACTAGGAACACGTATGTCATTCAAATATACTCTTACTCCATCATTAGTCGAATTAATGAATATAATAGCATTGATATCAATTTTGTACATTCCACTTTTTGTACAAAAAAAATTCCCTGACATCAATGAATAATTTGCATTTCCTATATCTGAAATCATTTGGGTTCCAGTAAGAAATTTTGAATTTCCACGTTTTAGTAAGGACTGCATTGCTACATGTATGTACTCATTTGATTTTTGAGAAATAAGATGGCCAGACCAAACTGATGTTTCATTTACAGAAAGGTTGTTTTTGTAGGACCTTATGCTTATCCTATCCCTAACGCGTAATTCAACAGTTAAAGATGTAGTTCCGGATACCACTGTTGATACTCCAGGTCCGTCCTGCCAAGTTAATGTCATCGGTTGTAAATTTTTGTAGATCCAAGCACCATTCGACTGAGATTCAGTAACTAAATGAAGGAAAAATACGTAAATACCGTCTTTGAAACACACAAATTCACCACTGTTAGAGAAAAAATTGATATTTGGGTATTGTGTAACGATTCTTGAGGGTTTGATAATACTGTCCTTATATGGAAGGATTTGTGCCCCAAGCATCACTGTAAATCCAACAAAATCATGGTGTTCGCTTTCACCTAAAATCAATATTTTTCAGTGATCATAAAAATGATATCCGTTGACTTTCCTAGTTACCAAATTTATTGTTCTAAATGAAAAAAAAATAAAGAATTAACATGCATAAGTTGTAAAACAATCCTTTTATACTGTATTAATGTCACAACAAAAACTTAATTTTCTAAGAGCATACACAGCACAGAGATTCAAATTATTTTTTAAATAGATAAATTACTTCTTTATATTCCCTGTGAACTTTTTTAAAAATCTTATTAGCTTAAATTTCCAATAATTGGTTTCAAGCTTGCTTAACTTGACCTAGAAATTTATGAATTTATTAGGTTACGGCATCGATTTCTTATAAAAGCAACATTTTTTTAAAAAAAAAGAAAATATCTTTAATACTCAAATTCATAATCTGAACACATTTTTGTGCTATTATACGGCGTTGCTGGAGGACCGAATTTAAAACAAAAATACAAATGTTCAGGAGAATGAACAAATTGTCGGAACAAATATTCAGATATTTGTCTGGATGTATCAGATATATGAATGAGGTACTCGTATTTGCTGGGACAAAAAAGAAATTTGTTCTTACAAAAAAGGTATTCATCACGAGGAATAAGAAATTTGTTTGGATGAATAAGATATTTCTTGGGACATTTGAAAAATAGATTCAGACAAAGTAGAAATTCGATCGACAGATAAGGATCTTCGTACCAATCCAACACATCAGAGGTTGGATCAAGTGTCATAGGGGAGTGAGTATCCCCTGCCAACCGGCTCATCCATCGTGTTCTTCTTGTCATGTTCGGCATAAAACAGAAAAATCCGTCGTCAATCCAGTGTACAATAATGGACTTGCAATTAGAATGAAAAACGTCATTAACAATTTGTCTCAATGACAAATTGTATTTGCTGTCAAGGTCTTTGTATCGACCACAGAACTTACGAAATGATGACAATAAACGACATTCCTGATATTCTTGTATATCATGCAATAAATATATTACTGGTATTATCCCTTTCATATGTACCTTTAGTTGCATTCCATGCCGTCCATGCCTCCTCAAGCAGAATTAATCGATTCTTCATTTCCTGGTTATCTTTTCTGAGAGTTTCCAATTCATCATGCTGTTCACGTGTTATGTTTGTTTGCAGCTGGCGGAAGGATAAGAACTCTTTTGTTAAATTATCACAATTCGATTCAAGATTCTCAAATTTCTGTCCGTAGCCAGTAAGTTTGTTGCTTTGCTCCATAATAAGAATACGAAGTTTTTCAATATTATTTGAATAGTCAACTTCTGATTTACAGCTGTCCTCAATCAATTTTTCGTCATGTATTCTTTGCAAGTTTGTACAACGTAGGTATAAAACTAAAAAATATCCTAACATTAAATATCCCATGATGTATGCTTTTTACTTTCAGGCTATAGCCTTTAACACTGCTAGTTTATAGTTTACATACGGATTATTACTGTAACAGCAATAGTGTACATTTTAGTGAAATGGCCACCAAAACATAATGAGTTTATCATTACTTTATGATTCACTGAGGGAATGAACCAATGAATATACAGTATACACCTATTTACTGGCTATGAGGACAATAGCAAGTTTATCATCCCCCAAGACAGCAAACTATTTCCCGAGGCGCAGCCGAGGGAAATAGTTTGCTGTCGAGGGGGACGATAAACTTGCTATTGTCCGAATAGTCAGTAAATAGGTGTTTTATTATACCGATGCTGACTTAACTTTTGTTAACTTTTGGGAGTCCAGGGTACACACAATTATGATATTCCATATTATACCGGTTCTGACTTAACTTTTGTTACGTCATAATATATACGCGTCACAATCCATGTAAAATCAGAAGTTTTATCACAGATGAAAAGCGAGGGAAATCGAATGCTGCCGTTGAATAGTTTGAGGACTATTCACCATGGGCAAATAGCACAAAAACTATTTCACGGTAGAGACTGTTTAGAAAAAATAGCATGTTTATTCGTCTTATTTTTATATAGAAAAAATAAACAGAGGTATAATAAAAAGATATATTCCACTTAAAAAACATACTTCAGTAGAGGATATAGAAGATTCTAAATATGATAAACAAGGTCCTTTTTCATTCTTCCTGCTTGCTCTTTCCAAAACAAGTATATCTGATTGTGTTTATTGTACATCGATCACGTGTGTATGGTACTTGTGTGATTAAACATGAGGGACCTTTATTTAACACAAGAATACAATTTTAAAAATTCAGCCGTTATTTCGAATATATATTCAATTTTCCATATTCACTATCACCTATCCATTGATTTCGGTGTGAATGTCGTTGGGGGTACTGTGGCAACGCACTTTGAAAAAATTACACACTTTGAAAAAAAAATTCAAAGTGCGTTAAAATTGGGACAAATCAACGCACTTTGAAAAAAAATCAACGTATGTTAAATTTGGAACAAAATGAACGCACTTTAATTAAAATTTCAAAGTGCGTTAAGAGTTTACATCAATATATTTTACCATGGAGACACTTAAGGCACTTTGAAAAAAAATATGTAGAAACAAAAAAAAATCTGAATTAAGATTTTACGAATGAAAAGATTTTATTTCAGTATTTATCTTTCAAAAAAATATTTATGAATTGATTAACTCCAGTTGAGAAGAGGAGAAGACGGGTAGAAGATCTCTCAGCCTCTTTCAATACAGAGGCGTTGGTTAACAAATAAAACGAGGGAGGGGAGTAATTAACCAAAAAAAGCGTAAGTAGCATTTTTAATGCCTATATGATCGATATAGTTCCGAAATAAATGGGGGCTAAGAGCCCCCCCCCCCTTTTTCTTTGCCCTTCGCCAGGTTTCGATGCCTATGATATACCCAAAATAAGAATATATATTTACATAACTGGTATGACGTTGAAAACTTTCAGTAAATGAATTAACTTAAAAAAGATGAAAAATAGAAATTTTTAAGTACAGTTAAACATCTTAGAGAGAAAGAATTTTCATAGTTTTGAAAAATCAAATTGCCTCCCCCCTTGCTCGAGATACGTACTATACTTTAAGTCATTCACTTGTAGCCCCCCCCCCCCCCCCACACACATCTACTTATTACAGTCTAGAACTTAAAAAAAGAAACGAAATAATGACATTAAACAATAATCTCTCTATTTTTTCTTTATAGTTTTTATCAAAGCCTAACATATATCAATATCTCATGTCCTGAAGTGACCTTATCATAAAAAGAGTTATCCAACCAGGGTCATAAATTATCATACCGATTATTTGTAAAAATATTTATCAAGCTTTACATTCTTTTTTCAAAGGAATGGTCCATATTAACGCACTTTGAAAAGAAATTTATTTATTTTTTCAAAGTGCATTATCTTGGTCCCAAATTTAATGCACTTTGAAAAAAATTTTCAAAGTGTGTGTAATTTCTCAAAGTGCGTTGTAACAGGCACCTTCGAATACTTATTCGCCACTGTCATCCAAATATAATTCTCTATTTTCTGTCGCTCTCTAGATATGTATCCACTCCTAGCTCAAATCCTGCAAACTCAAAATGATATCTTCTTCACCGCTTCATATTCAGCCTTCTTAAATAAGCAAAATCTACGAATTTTAATAAAAGTTGAATTGCTTTCATCTCTTTATACCACATTTAGCCTTTGAGGAGTATAACTGAGTAAATTATAAACTGTAATATTAATATTTTTAAATAAATATTTTTCACACGAATTTGAATTGAAACGACCGAATTAATATTTTCGTCTAAATACTGATCAGAATTGTAATAAAAATCGGTATATTGATTGATTGATTGATTGTATATTGTTTTACGTCCCGTTCGAGAATTTTACATCATAAAGAGACGCCAAAAAATACCGGTGTCGGGCTTCCATTTACACCTTTACACGGCACTCAGGGTCATTGAGAAATTATGGTTCTCATCAACAATGATTTTTTTGCCGTGACACCGTGCCTCTTTTTAAAAGATTTTACAAAGACTCACTGCTTTCACTTCAAAATATTAATGCCAGAGGCGTATATTCCGTATAGGCAAAAAAGGCTGTAGCCTATACGATAATTTCACGAGTAAAAATTTTGCTATATAAAAGGTTGGGGAGTTGATAATAAATCGTACCTATTAATTTATTTTGTTGCAAATGTCAAAACAAGCATTCTTGACTATCCACACTTTTATACCTATCCTATTATGTTTTCAGTTTTCCTTTATATTTAAGGACAAATCTATTCCTTCAACTTGAAATATTTTAAGCCAAAGATCATATGTTATCAATATTAAATCTGCATCAGAAAATTCATCGAAAGCAACAGGAATCCATAATGTGTGCAGGAAACAAAGTTGATAACTTAAATTATAAATTTGGTAAGTAAGAAATACAACATTTTGATTGAATATTTTGATTATTCAGTAAGGAAGATTGCATATTTTCTAAGCAGACATCGAGTAAAAGGATGTTAAGAATAAGTGGTCTTCAAATCACGACATAAAGTGTATATACATCTACAATATTATGTTAACTGGTCATATTAAATCTGTTAATTTCCAAGTTATCATCATTACAGTCACAATGTGTGAAATTCCTTAAGATTATTCTAACGGTTCGGATTAATGTATTGAAACTCGTTGGGGGCCAGCTCAAGGGAAGACACTTTTTTAAAATATTAATATTGATTATAATCGCGAGAAATCATTGCGGTTAAACACAAAAGATTGAGTTTAATCGCAATGTTTATTGCTTTTTAAACGCAATACAAGTTGCGTTGATTGCGATTAAGCCTGATAGTTTTTGCGTTTAAACGCAATAATATTTTTGCGATTAAACGCAATAATTAGAGATGTTATGCATTTGACCGTGTCTTTCTACTTCTACATGCAAAGTTGGAAGTAATTTTACACGTACGAGTTACTATCAGTCTGTTCTGTTTATCAAACTGCACGTGTACCGGTACGTGTAGAACGTCATTTTTGCACGGCACTTTACAATCCATTTGTATCAAAGAAATCTATGACTTGAAATATAAAAATATACTTCAGATGTACGTAATAAATTCTCAACTTCATACCAAACACCGGCTGAAAAAATATATAACTTGTAGTTCGAGTTTAAGGACGTTCGATCCTGCGATTTTGAACGTATTTTGGTCAGGTCCTTTATTTATAAAATTCTGCATCTTTGTTAAGTTCTAATATTAAATCTGAATTCTGCAGTGCAAATAACTTTATTCGGTAATAACCAATATTTGCCCCCCAAATCAAACTTTGACGGAGATATATTTAACTAAGTTTTTAAGGTGGAATATCCCTCTGATAAGAGAGATAACTCTTCCGATAAGAGAGATAACTTTCTTCAGACATTTTGTCATGAAATGCAGTGAATTGTCATATCAGAATTTACAATTTTCAATCATGGGGACCATTTCATAGTCAACTCTATCAAACCTATTCTATTGTACAAATGTTAATTTATAGTTTCTATTGCTAGTATGTACATCAATTATTTATAATAATTCACTTAAAACATTTATACTCAGTTCCTTTAAACAGTGTAAATTAAGAAATCTCTATCTCTTAAAGTATAATTCTTTTAATTGTACAGAAATTTCAGATGCAGTATTGTTTATAAACATTTAATTATTTTTTGGTTTCATTAAAAAATATTTTCAAGGGCGATAATGGAACGATAACTCTTGTTTATGGATACGTGTTATTTTACATGCACAGAAAACAATTTGTAATTCTGATTTAAAAAGCAGCCTTCAGTATGTTTTCTAATGGGAATTAGATAGGTATGAGAGTAAATATTATTTTTATATATACCTCATATTTCTAATTTAATTGTGAGATAAAAAATAATTAATATTTCTATTTACCATATTTTCTTCACATCATGATTTGACTTATTATTCATTTCTGAAAAAGTAAGCAACGCTTCATACTTCAAACTATTTTCCATTTGAATTTAATGCTATAGTTGTTGCTAAAAATCAATGTCTGGATTTTTTTTAAAAAGATGTGAAATTTGGAGCAGAGTGATATTGCCCCTTAAACAGGGGAATATATGCTGACCTCAAAGCACTGAATATTTTCATAAGTAATGACGCCATATGTACGTAATGACGTCACAAACATGACGTTAATTTGAGTTTTTTTATGAATTTTACAGAAAAATGTACATATTTCTTAGATATTTTGAGTAAAAGTCACCGAGCGCATGTGTGTTCAGGATCAATATTTTGATATAATATGTAGAATGATAATATCAATGAAATATATCAATATTGTTCCTGAACAAACTTGCGCTCTATAAATTTTAAAGCTAAAATTGTTGAATTTTTGTCCATTTTGACCTCTTTCTGAAAAAGGATATAAAATCGGACTAGTTTGTGACGTCATGAAAACAAAAATTGTGAATACACTGCTTTGACACAATAATATGTTCTGTTAATTTATATTTGTCATACAATTTATTGAATTCAACACATTTCAGGAAGTTTTC